GGTTACTTAACAATACCCATTTTAACTGCACAGTTGAAATTTTAGATAAGAAAGACGTTATATAACTTAGTCGAGGCGTAGAGAATGTATTGCTCTGACGTTCGCCTCGTAAAGAGTTATTTTATTTATTTATTTAGCGTTCTGTCTGACGACAGGTCCATATGAACAGGATCCTTCCATCCCTTTCTCGGACTGGGACCTGTTCATATACGTTCTTGGCAGATGATCCAAAAGTGGTTTGCCATTGCCTTCTTCTGTGTGTGAATGGGATGTCACGGAGCAACCGGGGAAGCCCCCGGAGGAAAACTCCGTGTTGCCTAGACCACGGCCTTGCCCAACACAAGTTATAAATTCGGGCACTGCCGGGAATCGAACCCGAGACCCCAGGATTACAAGGCCAGCGTTCTAACCGCTAGACCACGGAAAAAGTGTAACGCCAATCTAACCAGTGAACAGTTTCGTGTTCTGTAGAAACTGTGACAGTTTAATCGATAAATTATGTACGCAATTAAGGTCGAGAATGCGCGAGCAAGAAAACGATCGAGGCATTGTTGTTGCTATTTGCTGCGTAGTCACGTGATTATTGTTTTCGTTAAGTTTGCTTACTGATGAATTCGTTCGCCTTTTGTTTTTCGTTTGTTTACGCTGCGCACCGTTGGTACGTCTTGGCACCAGGTTAGGCTGCTTACCGACTTATTTTACACAGTTCAGTTACAGAGTAAAAGTAGGAAAGAAGCTGTTGTGGCATGTTTGAAGGTTCTATTCGTCATTTTCTTTTAAATTATCCAGAAAAAACTTCAGTCACGAGCGCTCGTCTGAAATCATGGTGTTACTTATCAAGCACACTGCAGACTTTTGAAATCTGTCTCTACAGTTACACAAGATTTTTTTTTTAAATAAACAGAGCAATGTTTGGCGACGATATGAAGGAGGCCTTATCTAGCTTTACTACTCTTTACTGCAGGGAAGTCGTCACGGCTGTGGTAAGTTGCCACCGACATTATAACATTATCTTACATTTTCTTAACCACTGTGACAAATTGCTACTGAGTTTGAGGCTGCACATTTAAAAGACAAAAACACAAATTTGAAATTACCAACGATTTTTGGTAGGTTTCGCAACAATACGCAGGCGGTATTAATATGTTTCATTGTCATTAGATTTATCCACATGCAATTTTATTTACGGGCTGTGTAATGGAATTATACATAACAATGAGAAACTGTTAATTCTAACATGAAATACATTTGTTGCCAATATAAATAAGTAAACAAATGTACTTTTCATAAAAATTTAACACGCGTGTAGTTGACAGTAATAATAATAAACTTATACATCACGAGCCGACACTTCTTTAATTCGGTATGAAAGGGAGAACAGGCCAATGTCACAGTTTAGTTTATTGATTGATTCTACGCGTGAGGTTGGTAGTGTCATCAAATAACTTTCTACGTTTAAGAATACACAACTTCTGTACGTTTGTGTTTGTCTCACGTGGAAATGGCAAGAAATATGTTGTAGCCACAAGCACAAATCACATGTTGCATTGTGCAGGAAAGCGAAATGATAATTTTAATTTTAACGAAGTGATAAAACTTGTTTGCAAAAGCAAACGTGTGACAAACTTTTAATGACTTCACCAGATTAATATTATTGGGAGAATAAAGATGGCCGAAGCATGCAGGGAAGGAAATATTAAATATTTTTGTTAGACTGCGTTAATACGAATATAATATTGAATATAAAATGAAATTATGTTGTCTGTTGTGTACTAACCTTACGATCTGTTGTCAAATTTCTCCCTATGTCATCAGTTTACATAAAATAACATACTTCTCACAAATCCAAACCATTATTGCCTTACTCACATCACGGCACAATGCGAACTGGCGAAAGCATCAGCACATGAATCCACTTCAGGCTCTGGCCTCTTCAACCAATGGGATTTCTACTACAAAGACCTTCACAGCTCCCACCGATTAGAGAGTCTTTCTGTTCGCGTATTTATTGGCTGTAACGAAATAAAAACAATGGAAGGTATCATAGAACTAAATACAGTCAAAAGCCTGTGTTACCGTGTAAAAACAATGTAAAATTGCCTCTGATAAATGAAAAAAATTTCTGCACAAAATGATAAAACAATAATTTAACGAAAAACAGTCTCCTCAAATATTTTCTTTCTCTATTCATGTATTTTCATCCCAAACTTTGCTACCTGCAGTAATGTTTCTCGCCACTGCAGAAACGTCCGTCCCCCAATTTCGTTCTGATATTCCATTCGTCCATCGTACTTCTGAATTGTTAAAATTACACGATTCTTTCGCAGTAAAATTGGCAGACAGGAATTCAAATTCGATGCAAAATAAACTACGATTCCTTGAGATTTTTTTTAAACTGCGGGAGAAACGTGGCATTGGTTGCAAAGTCTGACTGAAACAGATGAGTCAGAAGACCTTAATGTAGATGGAGGATAATATTAAAATGGATCTTAAAGAAACAGAGCATGTATGTGGGCTGAATTGGCTCCGAGGATGATAACAGGTGGCGGGTTTTCCAAATTTTAGATTTCCATGAAAGATGAGCGACTATTAGCGTCAAGAACTGTGTTAATTTAAATGTGGATTATATAATACGACTGGGAATAGTTGACATTTACGACATAAAGTGAGTCTTCACTTTTTAGGTTATCACAAATTATAAAATTTAAAAAAAACAAAAAAACAGCTGATGTGTCTTTACGAGAAACGGCAGACCATCTGTTCTGCTGGCATGACGTCGAAATTCTGTGAAAGCTTAAATAAGACAATGATCTCACCATTCTATGGAAACTTCATCTTCTTCTTACACGGTATGTCCCAGAGGCCAAGCATATGATGCACTCCTTGAAGCGATATCAGAGTTACTGGTCGGTCGCACACTTTCGTCAAACTTTCGTTCCGTGAAACTCGGTGCATTTGCCTCACGAGGCGGGCTCAATGCCAACCGAGCGCCAACTGCTTCCGTGTACCCAGGAAGTTCATTTCCGCCACAAAAAATATACATATCTCGGGCATTCTGGTACACAAATAACACGAACCAAGTCTTTAAAAGCATCACCAAAATCAAACGAGAATTCACTTTCTTAGGGCGACGAGGGGGTAAGATGGCTGTCTTCTCGAATGTTGAGACGTGTAGTCTGTGTAGACAACGACCGGCGTTTCACAGATGTCACGAACACTGAAACGTCGTTCAGTGTCTACCAGCCTACACGGCGCAGAATTCAAGGAGACAAGTCTTATTCTCCCCAGAATTAAGTTCGTCACAAATTTAATAAATTAATGTTTCTTTTTAATCACTACATGATACAGAGTTATTCTTGAAAAGATGATAGTGCTTTGTTATTCAAGAATTTCGAATGTTCTTCACCCTGTTCACAAAAGCCCAGCATTTGAAATTGCCGAGCCATTTCAACCTATATTTCCCCAAAATTAATTTTAATAATAACTCCCCCCCCTTTATTGCTAGTCGAACAAAATACCTTTGCACTTGAAGTATTCAGACCAAAATTCTTTATGCATTTTTTAAATCTCCCAGTGTGTGCCGATCTAATGCTGATTATGATTTATCGAGTGAAAAATTAGATGTCGAAGAAAAACACAGAATCTCTATTAGATGAGAGTAAAGAACTTGGTCTATAAGCAAACACAGAGAAAATTAAGTACATGTTCATGTCTCGCCACCAGATGGCAGGATATATTCATTACGTACAGGAGTCTTCTGGTTCAACTGATCCGAAGACGTAGGATTTGAGGTTTTCACTTTGGAGTCTAAAGATGGCCGTCTTCTGGGTTGTTACATCGTGTAGTCTGGTAAAAGTTTACTGACGTTTCATCGCCCTGATGATGTAGGCAGCAGGGACATCTAAAACGTTGGTAAACTTCTACCGGACAACCCAGAAGACAGACGTCTTCCGATTTGAAGACTATCGCATCAAATTCAGATTTATTCCTTGTTAGAACAAAATGTACGTCTCCGGAATAACAAAACAAAAAAATTATCGACATTTATATCTGATACTTGGGCGACCCGTTCTTCAGTGTCTGAGCATCTGCTGGTCCCAACTTTCGTTAGGACTCCTTGGATGAGTGATCGGTCCGTCGTGAGGCCTCTACCTGTACGCAGGACAGCACAACACAGAAAAAAATCCATGGCTTGAGTGGGATTCGAACACACGGCCAGTGTCCGAGCGGCACAAGGCCCACACCTCAGACCGCGCGGCCACTGTGAAGGCCCATTTATATTAAAGAGATATTAATTTTTATTTCAATAATATTTCAATGTTACAAAGTTTACATAAAGTGATGAAGGCATTAAGAACACACACACACACAGAGTTCTTATTGGCTAAATTTTCAAAAAAAACCCTCCCCCACCTGAAAATGAAATCACAAATAAGACGCTCCGCCAGAGTAACATATTATCTGACGATGGTTGTTTTATTTTAAATAATGTAAAGAAAATAGATTACAGAACATCTTTCATGGACATTTTCAAATTCATGTTACGTAACATGCAGAGGTCCCTCGCCGTCAATTTCCTTCCGGTCACCGTGTTCACGTCATATAATCGGAGTAGCAGATCCGTCGTGAACAAGTCGGGCAACGAACGCAGCAAACAGGGAACCTGAAACAAAAGAAAGTCTTATGCCCAGAACAGGATTTGAACCTGAGCCTCCTCACATAGAGCAGCTTCAATTGCATTGCAGATTTTATTCTTCACTAAACCCTTAAAATCCATGATGCAACACGCCCCACCTCGTCATCCTCCATCTTACCATACACGGTAAAAAACTCGTCAATTACCAATGTCGTCG